CTGCAACTTGGAACCAACACCTGATTAAATTTTTAATAACTCACTCTCATTCTCCAAGATTGATCTGTTTTCTTCCAAGACCATGGAGGTAAGTCAGATGAAGATTTCATTGGAATCACCTCCCTTCCATCCTTTGGGTTCATGATAGTGCTGTAATGGTTTATTTTATGTTGCTACATTGAAATGCCTGGGGTTTATTTAGCTCACCATTTTGGATGCTGGAAGTCGAGGCTCAGGTGGCCCCATCTTTCCACCTTTGGTGAGGGTCTTGTGGCCACATCACAGCATGGCTGATGGTGCCATGGAGGGAGTGCATGTAAAGGGAGCTGTTGATGTCTCTACCACCCTAGCGCCGCCACACCAGAGACCAGTACATGAGCCTTTGGAGGACAAATTACATCTAAACCCTGGCTCTGCCATCTCTACAGGAATACAGAGTTACAGTTAGAGTAGACAGAAGCAGTTCTAGCAGCTCCCACTTGGCCTTTTCTACCATAACAGCCTCACTGCATAGGTCAAAGAGCCTGCACAAGGGTTGTTCCTGTTGTTCAACGCCTCTTTTCAATTATGAACCCCAGAATTGGGAAGATAGCCGGAGGGTATGCTCAGGGCCCCGCGGGGTCCTTTGTGAGACAGATCTGAATAAAGCTCCATGACCACTAGACTTCTAAAAGCCCCTGCTCAGATCAGTGAACCACACTGATGTTTAGGGTCTCCAGGAATCAGCGTTAACTCAGAGCCAGTGTCCAGGAATCACTAAAAAGTCTCATAGGATGAAAATGAAGTGAGGTGGCATAGCATTCAAAAAAAGCAGGCAGTGATGAGCCATGTTCATTACAGCAAAGGGTCTCGACTCTATAGGTACCTTCAGCTTGGCAAAGCACCATCGTGACTCTCCTCAGCACTTGCCAGGGACAGAGGGCATCGGCACAGCAGGTTATTCCCCAGTGGGTGGGCAGTGGGAACAGGTCAGCATAGAGGTTCCACCCTGGAATGGCCCTATTCTACTTGGGACTTTTGTTGACAACTTGCAGGAGGAGATGGAGGCTGAAATGGTCTGTTTCCCAAAATATTCACGAAGCACACTTGCTCTTTCTATTTGTTTTTTGGCTGTTTGTTTGTTTTTCAGTACTGGGAATTGAAGGCAGGACCTTTAGCTTGCCAGGCAGGCACAGTCACACTTGCTGGTATTGAGGAATTGTGGATAAATCATTCTGAAAAGTCCAAAGGCAGAAGTAGGCAGTAGCAAGAGGGAAATCGGTGTAAGTGGCCACACAGTTAGCCCACTCCTGGCTCGCCGGGCCGTCCAGGATGTGATTTCACTCCCTGGAGCCTTGTATCTGCCATCTGCATTGGAAGAAGGCATTCTCTACCTCATCATTCAGTCAATACCATGGGTTTGAGATTCACAGCACGGCACCTGTAGTTGTCGCACAGTGTGTGTGTGTGTGTGTGTGTGTGTGTGTGTGTGTGTGTGTGTTTTATAAAGACAGAATCCAGGGACTTGTGGTAAATGCTCTACCACTGAGCTACAGCCCAGCCCTTTTTCAATTTTTTTTTTTTTTGGACACCAGCTCTCCCAAAGTTGGCCTTGAACTCAAGATGTTCCTGTCTCACAAGTAGCTGGGGTTACCTACACGTGGCACCACACCTACCTCGCACTATTGTTTTTAACAGTGGTCCCCCTGCCCCTTCACCTTCTACCAGGGTTTCTCAGACTGCATATTATTGGCATTTGGGGCCAAATGACTCTTGTCGTGGAGCTGTCCTGTGCCTTGTGGACTGTGCCCGGCAGCCAGTGACACCTGCCTAACCCAGACAATGAAGGCTGTCACCAGGCATCGCCAAATACCATCTAGAGGGAAGAGTTGTCCTCAGCTGAGAAGCCTGAAGCAGCCCTTCCTGAGGTCTCTGTTTGCACCTTTGTAAATACGCAGATGAGTCTGGGGCTCTGGATTCCTCCGTGCATTTGCTCATTAATTCCACCATTCAGGAAAACAATCTGAACAGTGTGGGCTCCATGCCAGGCCTGAGAGACACTATTTTTGTTTTTAAAGCTTTCTATTTCAATGTCAGATGATGCAAGTTTAATTACTCAAATCATATTTGAACAGGTTTTGTTGGAATATAAATTAGGTGTTTGTTTGTTTGTTTGCTTATTTGTTTTTCGGTGCTGGAGATGGAGCCTGGGGCCTCACACAAGCTGGGCAAGTGCACCACACTGGGCTAGAGCTGAGCCCTGTACTCACTCGCCTTTATAGTGCTTTGAGCAATGAGATACTGGACATTGGTCTGAGATGGATCTTTAGGACTTTAAGGAGATGCATACTCTTCCTAGTTTGCCAAGACTTCTTTTAAAATTAGGAATTTATTTTGTCACATCCTCTCTGGCATCTATTGAGCTGGTGTTACACGTTTTTCTTGTGGCCCACTGTCCAGTTGGGACTCGGTCCCTCTCGTGTTAGCATTTTTGTTGTGGTCAGGGTGCGGCAGCAGCCACAGGCGAACAAGCTTCTCCATGGGGCTGAGCAGACAGCGGGCCTGGAGAAGCTGGGCTGGCCCTAGGGCTTCCCAGCAACAGCTCAGGCTTTGGAGTAGAATGGGGGACGGGGTCATTAAGTGAGCTTTTTGCTTCGGGGATACAGAGGCCAGTGCGTTCTCCAGCAGTAGGAGAGTCACTAAAGAAAGCCACAACCATTGGTGAGTTATCCACAGTGTGGTTTGGACAGAGCCTGGACCCGGGTGCCTGAGGGCTGTGGAACTGGCCTCCTACTTTAAGATGCCCACAACCTGTGCTGTGTTAGGGGCCTGGACTAGCTGCTGACCACAAGGACTCCCCACAAAGCCCACCTTCCTCTCTATTCCCCATCCCAGGGCATTCTCCCCTCTTCCTGGCTTCTTGGCTCTCCTTCTAGAACCTCCCATCTACCTGCTTATCATTTCCTTTCTCTACTCCCAGTTCTCTGGCTATGGCAGTCAACCTTTCATTACTGTAACAAATAACTGAGCTACTCAACCTATAAAGCAAAAGGGTTTATTCTGGCTCCCAGATTTGGAGGCTCCAGTCCCGGGTTCGCAGGCTACACTGATTGTCTTGGGCCTGTGCTCGGACATGATGGCAGGGTCATGTGTAGAGCAGAACCTCTGCCCTCCTGACTGGGCAGCAGACAGGATCCCCTGACCTTCCTTCAAGAGACAAGCTGGGGACCAGGCCTCTTGGAGGACACTTGAGATCCAGACCCAGCCCTGGGGATTCCCCACAGCTGCTCCCCGAGAGGCGGGCATGGCAGTGCAGAGTCCCTCCCTCACAGCTGCAATTCTACTTGCTGCCCCCAGAGCCCCATCCTGGTGCCCCAGAGCCTCTGAGGAGGGTTGGCTGCCTGACTCCAAGTGACTCAGCTTCGGCGTCTCCGTCCGACCACTCTGGCATTCGCTGCCTATTAGTGCACCTGCGACATTTCAGGTGTTTCTAGGAAAACAAGCCGGACTGCTTTGGCTGTGTTACTTTCCTGAGGATTTTTGTGTATCTGCTCAGGGTGAGGACAGCAACTTTCCTTTCATTACCTTTTGAGGGGTTTTGGCATCGTGGTCTTCCAAGCTTCCCACCTGACTTGAGCCACCTATGCCCCTCTTCTTTGCTCGGGCTCAGTTTCTCTAGCCCGGGTGGTCCTTGTGCCTCTGAGGGCCACACATTGTGACCCTGAGTCATGTCGGCCCTGCCTTCTCCCCAGTTCTCTGTCAGCCACACGCACTGAAGAAAGGCGCTTGGTATTTTACTGAAGACCCCACACACACATAGTCAGCCTTGTCATATTATCATCTATGGGCTTTGTGTTTTGTTTCTGGTACTGAGAATTGAACCCAGGGCCTTCACACCGAGATACAGCCACAGCCTTTTTTTATTTTATATTTTGAGGCAGGGGCTTACTACTCCCCAGGCTGGGTTCCCCTTTGTGATTCTCCTGCCTCAGCTTCCCAGAGTGCTAGGATTACAGGTGTGTGCTGCCACCCCCAGCTTCTCGAAGATTTTAGAACAGCATCCTCCCGTGAGGCGTGATGCCCTTCTTGTCCTTCTGTCTGTTCTGCACCCAACTGAGTGGAATGGGGTGGGAAGGCTGGCATGGGAAGACCAGAGTAGCAAAGGGAAGGGAAGGGCCACCTGCCTTTCATGCCCAAGGTCCCAAGTTCGATCCCTGGTTAAAAAAAGGGGGGGATGAGGGGATAAGTGTGACACTGGGGGCCAAGGTTAGAAGGAGGGAGGACGAGGGAGAAAAATGGCTATCACCGTGGTCCAAGGAGGAGGAGTCCAGGGACTCGAGGCCCTGAGCCTGGCTGGTGGGAGGTGGCAGCAGCCCGACAGAGTCTGAGAAGAGACACCGGTCACAAAGGAGGTGCAGAGGGGACCCCAGACCAAATGTGGCATCCAGGGCCAAGAGGGAGTGGTTTGGGCAGCTTGGTCCCACGGGTGGGCTTGTGGACTGGGTGAGCCGTGGCTGTCATGCAGGAGTGCAGGCCTGGGGTTTGGAGTATGAAGGGCAATGTCCCGCCACCCTCACCACGCTGCCCCCTCCAGGAAGCCCCACAAGGTCTGCATGGAATCCTGGCCCACACTGGGTACACGGGGACAGCTGGCTCTGGGTTCAGGCTATCCACGCTGGGACTCCAATGCCAGGTGTGTGTCCTCTTGACTCCCCACCCTCACCCTCCTCTCCCTGCTCCATCCCAAGCCACCCACAAATAGCCACACCAAGGGGCATGAGTGGTCTCAGGAGGAATTCTGGGTCCTTGGTACCCAGAGCGTGGCCCAGAAAGGGAAGGGGTCCCCAGGCCTGAGGGCCACACAGGAAAGCTGGGTCAGGCCCAAGCAGGGGCTCAAAACAGGGACCCCAAAGCCGTGTCCTGAATCTGAGGCCAGCACCAGAAGGGGACGAGCGAATGTCATCGGCGCTATTAACCAAGAAACAGACACTTAGAAGCCCTTGTTGTTTATTTCGCAATAAACAAGGTTTTTTGCATTGTCTGGACTTTTAGTAGGCCGGAAAAGCTCAAAAGATCACCAAAGGCATCTCTTTGTGAACATTTTGGTTACAAATCATCAGTACTCCTCCCCTCTCAGAATTTGGGTCCGAATAGAGAATGTGTTTCAGCTTTCCTTTAGCTTCTCCCTCGTAAACTGCATACCACACCGGGGCCAGGGGCGCCCGGGCAGTCAGATCCCGACACTCTCAGCAGATATGGCTGCCCACTGAGTATGGAGTGGACCATTTCTGCATGACGTGGAGACAGAGGCGAGACGCTAGCGCTGCTCCTGCGGCACTGGGGTGGGCTCTGTGAAATTTGAGGGGGCGGCCTCATCGTGTGCTGGCTAGAGATCTTTCGTCACGTGGGAAGGGTGGTGGCATTCAAAGGGAGACGTCTGCTCAGGACTCTCCACTCCCACGGCATTTTACCTGCACTGCGCTTGGCTCCGGGACACCTGTGCGCCCCCGCCCCTCCCAGACTGTCCCCCTCGGTCTGCACGTCCTGCAGCTCCCTGCACTCTGCCTCGCGAGCGCGCAGGGCAGGTGCCTGGAAATGCTCCCTGATCGATGGAGGTGGAGAATGAGGCGGTGAAAGGAGGAGCCAGTCCTCACGGACGGTGGCCGGGCCTGTGACCGGCTAATCTCTGCCACGTGAAGATCACAAAGAAAACATGAAGAACCGGATGGGTGCATCCAATTGTCAAATTGTACATCGGGGAAACCGAGGACCAGAATCGTTAGCGCTCGATCAACGCCCCACGCTGAGAGCGGCCCGGCGGCGTACCAGACGACCGCCGGGCACAGCCAACTATTCTTTTTTTTTTGTCTTTTTAATTTTTTGTTTCTTAAAACAAACTCAAAAATGAGATGGCATGGTGACTTGGTTGGGGGGAGGGTCACCAGAGACGGGGTTGGGAGTTGGGTCGGGGAAAGGGGGCAGAGAAGAGGGGCCCCTGGCGGGCGGCGGCGGAACTGGGAGGGGGCGGAGCCCCCAGCAGCAGGCAGGACGGAGGGGGCAGGAGATTGGAGTTTAAGGGAGGGCTGGGTGAAGCGGGGAGGGGCTGGTGCAAACCAGCACGGGGAGCCAGGGGCGTGGGGTTGGGCGGGGACCGTGGGGAGAGTGGGGCGGGCTCTGAGGCGGGAGGACAGCGGACTTGGGGATCGGAAGGGGGAAGGGGGTGATCTGTCAATGGCCTTGTGATGACGGTGGCGCATGATCCATGAGTGACCGCGAGGTCATGAGTGCTGTGACTGAGATGTGATGACTGTAATGAAGTGACCCATGGCTTGCAGCAAGGTAAACATGGCACTATACTCAATAAAGCTAAGAATATAGACTCTCATCCAAAAAATTTAAGAAGCAAAATATATCTAACTGGTACCCAAGGGCTGCGTAGCTGGCCGATCCTAAAAGGAGTTAGAAAGCTACACAGAGCTCTGTCCCATTTCTCTCTGTTTTTGCAAAAAAGATAGATTGCTCTTGTAAAAAAAAAAAAAAAAAGTCCAATTCATAATTCAGAAGCTGGCTAGGTCTTACAGGATCTGAGAATTCTTTGCAACACAAACGCAAACCCTGGCTGTGCAGTCCAGGGCTCGAACCACTGTAGCCACAGAGCAAGAAAATGCCCCACAAGCGGCCATTTCCACTGCAGTCTGTGAAAACCTCAGTGAGGGTGGTGTTGCTACTCAGATTCGGCCACGGGCACTTACGGTCAAGGCGCACTTAAATCTCAGAGACATCTCTAGTCTACTGGTAGGGGCTCCACTGTGGGGAGAGGGGCCAGGCAGGCCCAAGGTAGGAGTGGGGGGCTGGCTGCCTACATGGCAGCTCCAGGTGGCACATTATGACTCAAAAGGGCCAACTTCTCCCACGTGGGAAGTGAGCCAGGAGGCTCCCGCTTTGAGAAAAGCAGCCGGGACCAACCCCAACATCAAGTGAACATCCAGGATAGGCCAAAACCTTTGGGATCCCAGGGTGGTACCTGGACTTGGTCAGGCCCTATGCTCGGGGTCAGGACACATTTTGGTAGCTATGCCTCGTTCCTAATTCTGAATCTTAGAGTCAGAGAGGACCTCGATGGTGAGAGTTCAAACCGCTCCTCCGAGAGGGGAGACAGTGGGCCCAGGACTGGGATGGAGACTCGGCAAGGATTACACAGCGAGTTACTGGCAGGGCTGGGACAGGGTCCCAACCCCCAGCAGCCAACCCGGGCTCTCTCTGCCTGAAACAAACCACTGCACTCTGAAATCTCAAACCGATCAATCAGAAAGCTGTAACAGGTTGCGGTGGAGCTGGATGTGAGTGCGAGTCGGATGTGACAGGTGAGAATTAACGAATGAAAGAGATTTAGCTTTTCACAGTGAGTGGTCATGCATGGAACTTGTAATGGTTGGACAAGGGCCCCGTGTTTGAGACCCCTGGGTCAGGGGTGTCAGCACTGGGTCCTGGTTCTGTTGCCTTGTTTTTTTTTGGTCTTTTTGATATTTTTTGATCTTAAGAGTTTAGAATAACATACTTATATCTTTTACTTGTTTAGAGATGAAATTCTTATTATTCTTATTATTTGTAAGCATGCATTAATAGAGTAAGGAGGATCTGTTTAGCATTCTGTTTGTCACACGGCAACACAAAGACAATATATGTAAGCGTAGCGTTCACCAGATTCAGCACAAAAGACAGCAAATTCCACCACAAAGATGAGCACAGACCGCATATACTGAGCTCTGCGGAACCCCGAGAACAGCGCGGGGCCCGTGGGAATGCTGCTCAGACCTCCTCCTCGCCCACCTCCCTGTGGAAGGTGGTCACGTCGACCTTCTCCGGGAAGATGACGCTCACCGCCATGTCTTCCCCATTGTGGTACTGCAGCAGCAGGTTTTTCTTCTGGCGCAGAGTGCTGTTGTAGCGCAGGTTGGACACCCAGGTCTCGCACTTGTTGATGAAGATGATGATCACCGTGCCCAGCACCACCAGGCCAGCGAGCATGCCCAGAATGGTGAAGCAGATGGCCTGGCCCTCGGTGAGGAGAGGGGTGCTCTTGTTGAGCTGCTTCATGGACACCTTCAGGATGCGGTGCTCGGGCTGCGGCAGCGGCAGCTCGTGCACCCCGGGGGTCACGCGGTAGGACAGGCCATAGCCCCTGGGCACGTGCAGGGTGCCCGCCTCGCGCTTCTTGGCGCAGGTGGGGCCTGTGAACGGGGGCTTGCACAGACACTTGTAGCTCACCTGGGTGTGCTGCAGGCAGGTGCCCCCATTCAGGCACGGGCTGCTGGTGCAGCTGGTCACCGGACGGCTGCAAGTCTTGTCGATGAAGCCGGCTGGGCAGCGGCAGCGGAAGTCACCCCCGATGTCGGTGCACATGCCATCGTTCTCGCATGGGTTCGGGGTGCAGCTGTTGGCCACGATCTCGCAGAAATTGCCTGAGAAGCCAGGGGGGCACAGGCAGGAGGCATGGAAGGCCCAGCCCTCATCGTCCACACAGGTGCCTCCGTGCTGACAGGGGGAACTGAAACAAAGGACAGGTGACAGGCCCTCGGGGGCTGGGCAGGGACAGGCTCAGCTCATCCTTGCCACGCCTTGGCCCGCACTCACTCGGCAAGACACGTCAGGTGAGGGCGGGAGGGCAGGGTGCCAGTCCAGGTGGCACCTGCGTGGGGTACCCACCTCAGCACACCACGGTGCCAACCTGGACCACACCTGACCTCCCATGCCAGGAAGCCCAGGTCCTCTCCCACCTCATTTCATCTCTCTGGCCGGAGCAGTGACGGCCAGTTATTAGACAGAGGGGAAACCGAGGCTGGGGGAGGAATCACAAGTCAGAGCTCAGACCTGGATCGAGCCCCCTCCCTCACACTCCCCCGGGGGCCACTGAGGCAGAACCAAGCAAGGCGGGCTCACCTGTCTGGGGTCCTGCTGTCCTGCCTGTGGCCCCCGCCCTACCCCACCCGAGTGTGATATTTTTTTCTGGTAGAGTGGGCCCGGAGCTCTTGGGATGGAAACCTTCGGAGTTGTGCTTGGCCGTGGGGAGCCGGTCTGGGGCTGGCCATTTCCCAGGGGTTCATTTACCCAAGCTTGCAAACCTGGGCTGTTAGACCAAAGTGAGCACACACATTTAGTGTAAGAGCTTTTAAATGAGCAGGCCCTTTGTCATCTGACAAATGCCAAAACTGCGGGGAAGAAAGGGGCCATAAACACAAGAAATCAGCATTGCTGCTTGCGGGTGAGGAGCAGGGCCCTGGAGGAATTTCAAGGATTCGAGACTCTATTTTGACAGACCCTCAAGTCTGACAGAGAGAAGAACAAAATATTTTAAAGGTCTTGCTGTTTTTCTTCCCCACTTGCTAATAAGCAGCAATGGGTTTCCACTATCACCCCCCTGCCACCCTCCTCCCTCCTAAACACTGGGTTCCCTACCCACCCAGGGGGCCAGGGCCTCATGAACTATTCTGGAAGGACCCTCCTTCTCTCAGCTCCCAGCCCAGCACTGGGTTCTGCTCCTGGATTCTTAACTCAGTCTCTGCCTCTGTCACCAGCCATCCAGGGAAGGACTCGACATGAGGCGTGAGGCAGGACCGGGGCTGGGCTGGCAGGAGCTCCTTGGTCTGAAGTCGCAGGGCCTCCTCCCCACAAGGATAGCTGGGGCTGGCCCACTGCCCACTGGTCGGGCAGCTTCCCCCCAGCTATCCCAGACACCCAAGCACAGAGCCCACCATGTCCCACAGACAAACACCTCCGCTGAACTCTGATCTCTTATTATGTTGCCTTCAGAAAATTATGCAGCCCAATCTCCTGCCATTCACACACATCAGAACTTGGGACACCAGGGGAATCGGCAATCACCTTGGATCGGGATCGTTTGACAAAATGATGGAAGGACACTTTCCAGCAGCCCCCCGCAGGCAGCCTGCAGCACTTGCTTCTTTTGTGGGGCAACAGGTCCCGCAGGGTGGGGCTAAAGGGGGTCTGGGGTGAAAAGTAAGCCCGAGTGGGAACGAGGGTTTACCCATTGATCACGCAGGGCCCGTCCTTCTTCTGGCAGTCCTTCCCCGAGTACCCAGGGACACAGGCGCATTCGTAGTGGCCACTTCCAAGGTCCATGCAGGTCCCATTGTTGGCGCAGGGGGTCGAGATGCAAGCCCGGACGTCTGAGGGACAGAGAGAACTGGACTTTAGCTTCTCCTCCATGTGCCAGCATGGCCCCCAGGGAGCTGCTAAATGGCCCCACTATGACTGCGAAGTGGGGCTTACAGCAAGAGGGTACAGTGACTCCCTCAGGAAACCCTACAGTGCTGAGCTGGAAGTGTGGAAGCCTGTGTCAGTCTGTGTCACTGCCACAGGGCTTTAACACAGGACAGCGAAACCCTTTCCTGGAACCCTAGTCTGGCAGCACAACTGTGACCTTCACGGCAGATGGCAGGGCATCTCTGAGGGACTGCCCCCCACAAGGTGTCTGGGGCCGGGGTGACTGCCCCTTCCTTGGAGAAACCCTGTTCAGCCTGCCCCTGGTGATTTCAAGGCCCCCTGTGGGTACTGAGAAAGCTGACTTCACCACCCCCTGGTCTTTCTGCTTCAGGTTTTACACTAAGGGGGTCCAGGATAAAACGGCAGCATCTTTTGAAGCCAGAAAAATGAGAACTATTGAGTACTCCCCTATACGTGTGGGTTTCCACAAGCACTGGTTTATTTCCACTGCCTTTTCACACCTCCCGTCAGCTGGCTTCATTATTCGGGCTCAGCAAGCCGGGGATGAGCTGCACAGAGGGGCCCAGGCCAGGGTCTCTCTGACGGAAGAGACCCCAGCTCCATGGCAGCGCCATGCCCAGGCCTGCTGTTGTGGCCAAGAGTTCAGCCACGCCCCACTCTGCCTCAGTCTCCCTCCTCCTAAAAGAAAAGGCTCTCTATCCTGAGTTTGCTATCATCTGAGCTGCTGCACCTGCTACAAAAGTAGAAAGCCAGGGCTGGCCAGAAACAAGGCCAGTCAAGGAAGGCTGGCAGGGGCTGGATTCCCTCCCTTTCCCCACACCCTCGTGGAGGGGATATAGCAATCCATCAAGGAGCAAAAGCCCAAACGCCATGTTGATGGACTCTGTGGGCTCCTGGCATGATCCAAGGAGACACAGAGAGGGTTTATCTTTATGGGACAGCACTGGCACATGGGCCTCTGCTGCAGGACCCTAATTCTCCACTCCTGGCTCTCCAGTCACTTGGAATCTTAAATTTAAGATAAAGAGCTGCTGACCACCCCCAGCCTGGCCCTGCTCCTTTCCCCAAAACACCAAGCCTGGTGAGCTGTCAGCCTCCTGGGCCTCCCACCCAAAGCAGGGGTGGATTAAACTGTGGCAGAGGGCTGGGGCAGGGGGCTCTGCCCCAAAGGCAGCTGAGCGGGGCCGGCAACAATCCAGAGGGCTGTTCCCTCCCTAGGATTCATACTGGGCAGGTAGTAACCCCCAAAAGCCAGCCTTTGACAGCCTGATGGGGAGGGGATCTGTGGAAGGCCCAAGGGGAGGGGGCTTTCATCTAGAAAAATCCTCCTGGGTGTAAAGAGGGTAGGCTTCAGCCTAAAAGCCTCGCCCTGATACCAAATCAGCTCAGAGCTGCTGCTGCTGCTGCTGCTGCTGCAAGGGGTTGCAGAGGTGTGGGCCAGAGCATGAGTCAGCTGCAGACAAACCCTGCATGGGGGGTTGGGGGAGTAGGGACCAGAGACCACGTGGGGCAAAGGCCCTTTGCTTCTCTGATCCTCAGTTTCCCTATTTGTACCGCCCGCCTTTGTGAATGCTGTAAATGAGACCCCGGGGCAGCTACCTATACTGCTGCCATGGCTGCTGGGAGATTTTTCAAAGACTTTAGTTTGCCCAGAATTTAGGGTAGCATTTGCCAAATGAGAATGGGCTCCAACGAGCATTTAGCAGCCTGGAGATGCAGTGACAGCCAACTCTCAACTGCTCAGGGTAATGGAGAATTAAGATTGCATAAATTAATGAAATCAACAGATAGCCTCAACTTGCTGTGAACCCCTCCTCAGCCTCCAGCTCCTGCCACACCTGCCCTCACTGGGGAATGGGCACCACACTCCTGTGGGCCAGATGCACCCCCCCATTTGTCACTGGCCTTGTGCAGCCCCCTTCCACTCTTTCCTGTGACTCTCTTGGCATCTAAACCCTGAGATGCCCCAAGTCCTTCCCCATGGCTGGTTGTACTCAGCAATCTACACAGGTGTCTGGAGCCTGCATCCCACCAGCTCAGTTCTGTGTGTGTGTTGTGTGTTTATTTTGCGCATCTTTATTCGACAGGCAGGCCCAGCCCCCGTGTCACTGGGTGCTGGTATGGCAGAGGTGAACAAAACAAAGTCCCTACCTTGAGGAGTCATCTGGAACCCACGGGCGGTGCATAAACAGATCTTTGCAAGAGTGGGCCTCAGGTGTGTGGGAAAAAGGTTGGGGGGGCAGCCACCAGGCAGGGATGGCAGGAGGGGGAGGAGGTGGGCAGGGGCAGTGCCCACCTATGTTGCAGAGTTTGCCATCCCAGCCATCCTCACAGATGCACTCCCCAGGTTCTTCGCAGTGTCCGTTAACACAGCCAGAAAAGGGCACGCACTGGTCACACAGGTCGCCCTGCCAGCCAGGCTGGCACCTGTAGGGAGGGGCAGATGGGGACATTTGAGGGGCTTCGGTGGAGAGGGGCTCAGGCTGCTTTCTGTATACCAAGAGCCCTTGGGGGATCCTTGCGCAGGGCCGGGCCAGTGGGTCCCAGGAGCACATGCCAAGCCACCTGCATGAAGGAACTCAGAGGAAGAGGCTGAGGGGCGGGCACCCAGGGCCCTGAGAGCTCAAGGAAACTGCGTTTTGCCACAGTGGCCCCCCCACCTCCACTCCACCCGACTCCCCCTCCAGTGTTCTGCAAGGAAGCTGTGTGACGCAGCACAGCAGTGAGCCCCCCTCCCTTCTCCAGTCCGACTCCTCCCTCCCCAGGCCTGCGTGGCCCCCATAAGCCATCCCGAGGACCACAGTTACCTGCAAACGTCACCAGCGCAGAATCCATTTTTAGGGTCACAGGCCGGGAAGCATTCAGCTCCTGAGGTACAAGAAAGGTTACACAATTCACCCCACAAGGTCCCAGGAGCAGGGGCACAGCCCCTCTTGTGTCCTCCTCACCCTTCAGGGAGACATCGTCCCCCTTGAGCCCCACAGCCTGGCACCCAGTAGGTCTTTCTTATCTGTGACGCATGTGGCTCAGCCTACGCAGTAAGAATTCTCTGCCACGTTCCTGGCCATGGGACCATCTCAGAACACTGTCTTAGTTTCCAAAAGCAAGACGACAGACACCTTTCCCACCAAATAAAAACACGAAACCTCAAAGCCCCCTGAATGAGAGCTTCTGACCCCAGCATTCAGCCAAATCTTCACTTTTGCAAAGTGAGCTAGAAGGGAGGTACAGATTTGGAGGTGTCCTGCCCTGGGAAAGCCCAGTCAGGTTCACCTGATGGGCTTCCAGGTAAGGCGTCTGGGCCTGGGGTTTTGTTTTTTGTTTTTTTTTTAAGATTAATTCTGTCAAACCAGACACCCAGGTCACATTTCCCCCATTCCCCCTACCCCACGCTCTTCACATTAAGAGGCATATGCAAGGGTTTTGCAAAGCAAGTTGAGATTCCAACAGTCAAGGACTCTGATGCTTTAATTGGCGCCTGCTGTATGCATTCTCCCAACAGGCTCCCCAGCTTCCCAGGCAGCCCCCACACGGCCACTGGCGCAGTGGGGGCGGGGGACGCTGCGGGAAGGGGCAACTCGGCCGCTGCAGACAGAAGTGTCGCAGCCCCTCACCAAAGACACCCACCACGCAGAAGCGGCTCCGGCCGGGCTCCTGTTGCGAATCTAAGGCTACGACGGCAAAGTCGCCCCAGTACGTCGCCCCAGGTCCGTTCCCCAACACGCACGCTGGGTCACCCCCAAAGTTGCACCCCAGATGGTCTGCCCCGAGACCTCCCCGCACCGCCTCGTTCTCTCCATGCCTCCTTCCCCAGCCGGCGCCACGCCACCCAGGAACGAACGCCACTTACTCGGCGCGGGAAGGGCCGGGGTCCCGACCGTGCCTCTCTCACCCCCGGGCCCCGGGCAGGGCCAGCGGGAGGGCAGCTTAGGGTTAGGAGG